CTCTTCCTTGCAGGTTCCAAAGACGGCAGCATCCAAGAGGTGAACGTGAGCCCCTGCCCCACGCAGCCCTGCCTGCTCCATAAGGGGACATCCTACAGCATCAACGTCACCTTCGCCAGCAGTAAGTATCGCTTCCTCAGCTGGGGTGCCAGGGGGACGGGCAGGGGGGAGGTGGTCGCCTCTGTGTTCCGCTGCTCAGAGAGGAGTGGGGAAGGGTGGCCGGAGAGGGGTCTGTGTGGGGAGAAGCGGCTAAGCGTCCCATAGTTGTGTTCTTGCAGCCTCCAGGGTATGCGGAGGGGAGGGTGTACGGTAGAAACGTGTTCTCTGCTCTCGTGCTGTGCTCACGCTTCGCTGTGTTCTGCAGAGATCGAGAGCCAGGGCAGCAAAGCAAAGGTGTATGGTGAGATGCTGCACGTGGACATACCCTTTCCCATTCCTGAGCCTGATGGATGCAAGTCTGGGATCCAGTGCCCCATTCAGAAGGGCCGTTCCTACAGCTACCTGAATAAGCTCCCTGTGAAGAGCGAGTACCCCAGTGTAAGTAGGCAGGTAACTGGTCTGCTCCTCCGAGCTACTGCCCTTCCTGGGGCAGTCCCACCACCTGCCTTTAAGAAAGGACACCTTGTCCTGTGATGGTGGGAGGAGGTTAGAAGGCTTCCAGGACCATCTGGTGGCACTTCTGTGGTGAGCATGACTCCTGTTTCAAGTTCCTACTTTGGGACGGACCCAGCAGAGGAAGCAGCTTGTCTCCAGCTGCTGAGGAGTGGCTTCAGCTGCCCAAATATCCTTCTGTACTGTGCCTCCCTGCAGAGCCTGCTGCGTTCAGCCAAATGCTCCCAAACTGGAGGTGCTCTGCTCCAGAGTACAGTTCAGCTGGGAGGCTGCAGAGCGTTTCCACTCTCTGCTTACTCAGAGAGTGGGGATCCGAGTACAGTGTGTGTGAGGTCTGCTTAATGCAGCTGAACCCTCCATCTATGTAGGATACTCCAAGAGTCACTGCCTGAGCGTGACCCACCTAGTGCCATGGGGGCAAAGCCCCAGCTCTGTCCTCTTTGCGCAGAGCTTCCAGAACCTCCTTGCTCCACACAAGTGATAACTCCTCTCCCTGTGGCCTTGCCTTGCAATTTCCTGAACGCTCTCATTTCCCTCTGTTCTTCTTTCTCTTTCAGATTAAACTGATTGTGAAGTGGGAGCTGGTGGATGACCAGGACCAGATGTTGTTCTGCTGGAAGATACCAGTGCAGATCACCAGCTGAGGAGCCCTGCCATTAGTAGGGCTTGGGGAGGGGAAAAACAGAAGACAACACAGGCCAAATTCTTTTATATAATAAGCATTTCTTCCTGCTTCCTTCAGAGCTCTGCAGCCTCTGAGCAACCACCACTGTGTTCCTGCAAGGTCAGCCATGGGCAGAGGGCTCTTACTCCATTTAGAGCCCTCGGGGTGTTCTCAGAGCAGCTCGAGGGGGAGCAGTGTCTGCTGCAGGAGTGACTGAGCATCATCCTCCAGCTGCTCTGCGGAGGCCCTTTAGTTGTTTGGAATGGAGCTGTCTGTCCTCACAAAGGAGTTTCTCTGCGATGAACCTGGCTAGCGTCTGAGCTGCTACCTGGTAACCTTTCAGTGCCTCTTCTAGAATGCCGGCTGCATCCATCCTCCTGTGCTTCTCCTGTTCTGTCACGGCTGGGATGCTCCTGGGACCTGTGTTTGCCATCCATGCAGCTGAAGGAGAGGGAAGGAGAGGAGGCTTTCCCTGAGCTGGCAGCTTCCCCTGTCCTGGGCTGCTGCTCAAGCCAGCAGGACTGCAGCTGGGAAAACTTCCTTTTTGTGGATGCAAAGCCAAATGGTGTTCGATGTCTCTGCAGGGATGACTCTTTCTCTAACCAATGGTTTGCACTACTACTAACTTGGAGCTGCTGGGAGCTCCTGAACCTCTTTTTATAACTTTCCTTTTAATAAAGGCTAGATAAAATCTGCTTGTGTTGTCCTCCGTGAGCAGAAAGGAAAAGCAGAGTGGCTGAGCATCTTCTAGTTGGGCTCGGGCTGGTCTTATTTCTCATCTGAAAGCACTGATGGAGGTGGTACACTGGCCTGAGTGTGGGTGACCTGTGAGCAGCCAGGCATCTCTGCTGCTGGCTGGCAGGGTGTTCAGCTGGCAATGTCTAGCTGTGTTCCTGCCTTGCTGGTCCTGTGCTGGCCTGAAATTGTGCAAAGGCTCCCTGAGGAGGTGGTGGTGGTGTTGAACATGGCTTTGGTTGCTGCAGCATAGGTAAATGCCTTTCTAGTGAGGGCTCTGGGGCTAGAAAAGCAGCTCCCAGACCTTCACAAGGGCTCTTGCCAACTGCAGAAACCTCCATGCTCTCATGCTTAAACTGCAGCCCCCTCATGTGTGAACAAGGCAGGGTGTGAGCGGCCACAACCCTTGTGCTGGCTCTGGGGGCTGGAGCTGGCTCCTGCAGCTGGCATTGGGCTGAGAGTTAAGCAAGTATTTGGCCTGGCAAGGCTCTCTGGCTCAGCAGCAGGAGGAGGCTGGGTGCCAGTGTGAGAGGGGTAAGAATTGGCTTATGAGAAGGGGGTGGCCTTGCCAAGCTGGACCCGCATGGAGATCGTGGCTCTGGTCCCCCTTGGTAGAGGCAAGACAAGCACAGTTCTGACCAGCCCCAGTGTCTTGAGCCACAGGGGCCCAAAATAAATGTTTTATTTAACAACATGAGATAAGTTTCCAGCAGACTCAGTTAAAAAAAAAAACCCAAAACTCACCAACGACTTTACAGAAAGGAAGCTGGACCTGCCTCACCCTGCCCAGCCAGCACAGGGCATGAAGGTGAAACGTGGGGCTATGGGATGCGCCTGGGCTGGCTGCAGGGAGAGCTGGCCCTGGGGCCCCTCAGCTTCTCCCCCATGCCCTAATGTTAGGCAGCTTTAGAAAGCTGAGGTTGACACCCCCCTCAAAGTTCTGGCCTGGGGGCTGGATGCTTCACGAGGAGCGAGGCCAGCACCCACGGCATGGGTGAGGCTTGTCGCTAGGTCAGTGCAGCAGTGGTGGGGAGATGAACCCCCTTTTTCACAGGACCAAGAGGGGAGGCTGGGGCCACGTGGCAGGGGAAGGTGTCTCGTGACCCTCTACGGCACGGGGCGATGCAACGGGTGCTGGGGGCCAGGGTGGGCTCTGCTGTGGCAGGAGCAGGGGCTGGCAGGGTGGAGAGGGTGCAGAGGCTGGGAGCTCAGCCCTGGCCCGTAGAGACAGATGGTGGGGAAGTTGTGCACTTTGGAGGGGAAGGAACAAAGAGCCTCGAAGCACCCGCAGCCTCGGGAGGCCTTTCTCTGTGCTCCCAGGTCCTGGGTGCCAGAGTCGTGTGCCGGAGGGGAGCATCCCTCACCCCCGCTCCCCGAGGGCTACGCTGCTGCTGGGCTCTGGGCTGTCTGGGGCACGCAGTGGTGGGGCCAGGACAGGGCCACGTAGCCCGGCGAGCAGTGGCAGCGGTAGGAGCCCTCTGTGTTCTCGCAGGTGCCGCCCCGGCACAGGGGCTCGGGGCTGCCCACCTCCTCGCACTCGTTGATGTCTGCAAGGAGGAGAAGAATGGGGGTGAGCCAATGGCACAGTGAGCAGTCCCAGCCCACAGTCAACATCTCCTTGTGCCCCTGCCATCCCCACAGCCCTCCCCTACAGGTGCCCAATCCCCATCCCCAGCACCTCCAGGATGTCCACTGTGACCCCACCAGCCTCCCACACTCCTCAGCACATCCACAGAGCCCCCTCTGTCCCCAGGGGTGACACCCCCAGCATCTGGCATCCCCCAGCACAGGAGGGAGCCTCACCCCCTGCCCCAGCAATGCACACCAGATAACTGCCCTCCCCATGCTCCACAGCTGGTGACACTCCGGATTAGCAGCTTCCTGCTAGTAAGCTGTGCTAGCGTAAGATCTAGGAGAAAGGCCTCCTCCAGCCTCGGAAAATGCCCTTTTCTGATCCAACAAGGCCAAGAAAGTAGATGATGGTGGCCCTGAGAGGCTGATTATCACCTCCAGGAGCAGAACACAGAGGGACCTCGCGCTGCACAAACAAGGGCTTGTTTCATTAACCTGCAAACTGTGCCAAAGGGCTCGCTCGGCCGGCTCATCGCTGCGCTAGAGTGTGCACGTAAGCCCTACAGCAGTTGCCCTGTGTCCACTCTGCTAAATGCACTTCCCTGGACACCCTGCCTGAGCTACCTCAACTGGTGGTGGGGCCACCAGCTGGGCAGAGCATCCCTGTGCACCCCAGAGCCCTTGTTTGCACCCACAGGACCTCCAGAGTTCTCACCTGCCAAGGCAGGTCCAAGCCCTCTGACCACAAACTCCAGCCTCAACCCTCACAGATCGGCAGGGAGCGAGAGTGGGGAGCAGCTGAAGGGTTCAGCCAGCCACCCGAGGGAGAGCAAAGGCCCCAGCCATGACTGATGGACCCCAGGAGGACTGAAGAGTTCTGCCAGCCTGGGGACCTCGGGTTATCTCTAGCACAGGTGGAGGGGGCCATCTGGCAAAGAAAAGGAAGTGCAACCCCAGGGAGGGAGGCTGGAAGCAAAACCTCCAGGTGCAGTGGGAGAGAGCACAGCAGGCACGGGAGGAAGGAGGAGACGAGGGGAAACATAAGATGAGCGAGCTTGAGGAACAAGGCAGCCTTCGTACACAGCCAAAGCAGTGGTTGAACAGGCACTGCACACTCGGGCTAAACTTCAGGACCAGAACATCGCCACGGACGGGACACGCTTGCTCAGAAGGCTGAGGCGTAGATGTTACGCAGCACATCAAGGGAGATGTGCTCCACAGCCTGGGAAGTGAAGGGAGGCAGCCTTGCTGGAGGCACCAGGGAAAGGTAAAAGGGGGAAGAGCAAGCAGGCTGGTCTGGCTGTGCACCATCAAATTGAGACGAGAAGTAAAACAAGGCTACTTTAGCCCAGAGGCACCCAAAAACTAGAAGCGGTAGAGTCCCACTAGCAGCGCACACCAAGCTATGGAGCCTGCCTGCTCAGGCAGGGGTGGGGGCAGGCAGCCCATCTTGCAGGGCGAGGGCAAGCTAAGGAGGTGAGAAAGGAAGCACTGCAGCAGCCGCAGGAGTGCTCTGAAGGCCTGAAGTCAGCAAGGTAAAAACACGGGGATAACTAAGCACCATGTGGGAGAACTGAAGAAAAAAAAAAAAAAAAAGAGACAGGCTCCAGGGTAAAATCAGTGCTAGTTAGTCCAGGACACGAAAGGCAACAAGCAAAGGCTCCATAAATATGCTAGCAGGAAACAACGGGGAATGTCGGTCTGGTCCTTATCGGCGGAGGAAACAAAGGCCAGCCAACGCCGAGCTGGCTGGCGCAGCTAAGGCAGGCTTTGTTCCAGCCATCATAAAAATGTGACCAGACAGGGCGCGGACCATGTTTGAAGTGTTTAAACGAGGGTGCAGGAGCACAGGGAGGGAAAGACTATACGGCGATGGAGAGGTTCAACAATCAGATAGATAAAGCAGTTACCGTCCACATTGCTAAAGGCCTGCCACAACTCATCTTCACAGGCTTAATGCTGCTGCAGTCCCTGAAAAATTGGCAGTTCCCTCCAAGATGGAGAATGAAGGAGGTCTCAGAGACCCAAGGAAGGGTAAATCCGGTAACTATCTTCAAAAATAGAGAAGGGAGAATACAGAATTGCAGACTACCCCCCAGCTCCCATTCCCTTTAAACAGATCACGTTTGTGAGTGATTAGGTCATAACCCTCCAGAGGATATCAGGGTCATTAAATAGCCGGTGCAGATCTGTTAAGGCCTGATTACGTTAAGTCAATCTGGTTCCCTCCGATGACCTGATAAGTGGTCTGTCAGATAAGGGAGAAGCCGTGGATGTGATGTTCCTTGGCCACGGTGAGGATTTCAACACTCTCTCACATGATGCACTCAAGCAGACTGAGAAAATATGGTCTAGGTGAAACCATGGCAATTGCACAACAGGCTGCAAAGCTGCACTCCAAAGAGAACTGGCAATATCTGGCTGTTACAATAAAAGCCACTTGAAGCATGGCCTGAGAGGGTCTGTCCTGATCCCTACTCCATCCAATGTTGCCAGTAAGGTGGACGAAGGAAGAATCCCCATGCTTATAAAACGTCTGTGTGCAATGCCAGGCTGCAAGCACTCTGCAGGGTTCAGACTCATTCTGATCAAGCAGAGCAGCAGTCCAAAATCAACCAGACAAAATTCACTGAAAGCAAAGCACTGTGGCCAAGGAAAGGGAAACAGAGCGCACAAATGCCGAAGGAGGAGTAACAGCTAAGAAAGCCACTCTGTCTGGCAGCATTTGAGGCGGCAGAGGCCATGAGTTCTGTATGAAGCTGCATGATTGTGTCATGCGTAAGGATTCTGGGAGCTGGAGTTAAGTGCGATGCCTAAGGAAAAAGGGTCTTCATCTGCTCTGTTGAGCGCCCGGGGCCTCGGCTGGCCTGGGGAGCTGTCCTGTGAAAAGGGTGGAGACAAGGTGTACAGATGTAGAGGAGACACAGAAAGAAGCTTTAGAGACTGTGTCTTGTAAGGCATGGTGGAAAGTGAGGAATTTCACAGGGCAGTGGTGAACGTAGAGGAAAGTAAGCAGGGACAGGTAACAGTGGCTGGTGACGTACAAGAGTGTTACGTGAAGAAGGGAGCGATCGCCTGCTCCCTGCGATGCCCTGAGCTGCCCTGATCCAGCTGCCAGCAGAAAGTGGCCGGCTGAACCTCCAGGACTGCCCTCCCAGCTCCGTGGGACGGAAGCACCACGGCGA